TATTTAAAACAAATCTTTTTTAATTTTTATACTTAAAAAAATTTATTTTTAATCCTTAAAATTTTAAAAATTCAACTTTTCTTTAATATTTTTTATATTAAATTTTAATGTGACATATTAATTAAAAAAATTTAAATTTTTTTACTTAAATTATCTGAAATATCAATATAAAAAAATTAATAACATGATTAAATTTTTATTAATATAATTTTGTAATTATTTATATTTTAAAGATATATAAAATATATCATTATCCACCCTTTATTTGGCTGTTTTTATCTTTTATCCTTTTTTTTTTTCACATTTGGGTTTGCGCGAACCTAGGCGCAAGGTTCGTCGCGAAACCAGGCGTGGGGTTCGTCGCGAGCTTGCGTCGCGAAACCAGGCGTGGGGTTCGTCGTGAACCCAGCTCCTGGGTTCGTCGACGAACCCAGGCGCTGGGTTCCTGGCGAACCCAGGCGCTGGGTTCCTCGCGACCCCAATGCCTGGGTTCCGAGACGAACCCAGGCGTGGGGTTCGTCATGAACCCAGCTCTTAGGTTCGTCTCGGAACCCAAGCGCGGGATTCGTCGCGAACCCAGGCGCTGGGTTCATCTCGAAACCCAAGCGCGGGGTTCATCGCGAATTCAGCTCCTGGGTTCGTAGATGAAGGATTATCGATAAGGATTTTTTGTTTGTTTCTCTGATTGGATGAGAAAAAATTTTCTGTTTGAGGAAGAATTTTTCTTTGTTTCTCCGATTGAATTGGATGAGGAAGAAGATAGTGAAGAATGAGGCAGAAATGTGGTGTTTTGAAACATTATATAGTGATTTTTTTGTAAATAAAAGGAAGTGCGAGGATAAAATGGGTATATCATGTCAATTTCATTAATTCAAAAGCCGGAAGTTGCGCGGAAGTAAGAAAGAAGAGCTTCCGACCTTTGCAAAGGAAAGGTGAGAAGCTGAGCTTCTCAAAAGCTGCAGCCATTTTAAGAAGCTGACCCGTTTGGTGCAGCTTGTGCTTTTAGAACCAAAAAGCTCTTCCCACAATCTGCACCAAACAGGCTCTTACTTTCTAATTGCTTGAAGCAGTAACGTTTTTGAGAGGTTCAGACGAGAGCATATTGTATTGCCTGTATGCCCCTCAGTTGAAACTATTTCAGCTGAACGAAAAGCAGCTAGAAAAGAAAATAAATTTTTATTTGATGAATTTGTTTTCTTATTACAGGTAATTAAGAGTGTTATCGTGAAAACTATTTGGTTAAACCCAAATTTAATCCCTCAACTATTATACAGACTTTCAAGTTAATCCCTAGACAAAAAAAATTAAATTAATCCTTAAAATTTGGTAATTTGGCTTTTTTTGTCCCTCTATTAAATAAATGATGAGACGGCAACATTTCGATAACTAATTTCCAGAAGCTCTTTTCTGATAATGATGTGTAAATTACAGAAGAACAAGTTTACTGACTCCAAAAAAATAATTTGCTAGGTCCTCATTGAGTATACTAAAGGTTTGCTGGGAATAAATTAAAATGTTATAATAATTTAATAAACTTACATCACTACGACGCTACCTCCTTCCTTGCCCTTGTTCTTTTTCTCCGCCGCTGCCTTCTCTCCCCTCTTCCATTTTTCCTTTTTGCAAATTGAAGGTAAAAAATCAACAAAGAGAAATAATACCCATAAACGAAGCTTAATTTTAACCCAAAACCCAGGCTCTATCACTTTTCCAATCAAACTCAAAAGAAGAAACAGATCTAAAAAATCTATTGAATTTGAAATATAAAAAGCATAATCTGCCACTTCAAAATTTTCTAATTTAGTTCTTTTTTTTCTTAGCAATTTCCCATGAAAAAGAACACAAATTTAGAAACGAAGGGAGAGATAGCAGATTAAAACTTTCCTTGCCTAGCAATTTAGTTCCCCCAAAATGAATTAAAATTCGAAATCAGGAAAGAATTACCAAAGATAAATTCAATGGAGCTGTTGCTTTTAAATTTAAATCAATGTTTCAATACCCAGATGGGGATTTTACCAAAGATTGATGCGTAAAGAAGACAAGGGTAGAACCCAGCAATACATAGGATTGAAAAGGTCTTAGATTTCATGGAACCCAGCAATTTGGGTTCCATCGCATCCAGATCTGGTTCAATCGAACACAAAACCTGAGTTCCTATGGAGATTCCTACCACTTCATTACCATCGAGGATCAACTCACCACTATGGTTCAAGCCAGCCTTTGTGAGACCGACGCCTGCAGCCAAGTGTCCCAATCGGACCTCACCATCCTCGAAATATGGCAAGAAATCGCAAATTTTTTTCATATTTGTCACAGATCTAGCTTGAGAGGAGGAGTAAACATGAGTTAAGGTCTCACTCGCACTAGCGATTGGGAGATTGGGTGAGGTTCTTGCCCAGCGACGAGGATCCAAAAATCTTTGGTTCCCCGCCAGCGATAACCTGATTTCTTTGAAGGGATTTTCAT